AACCTGCAGCACCATGGGAGCACTTTTCTCAGTCGTCTTATCACAGCTGTAGCCCTACTGGATGAACTTGTACATCGACAAATTATCCTAAAGGTGTATAGTGTGAATAGTGTGTCTGAATAAACTGATCAGGATGGGGGTGATTATAAGTGAGTGCAGGATAATCCTGACCACCCCCTGCACCACCTACTGGACAGTCAGCAGAGCACTGACCCTGACAGACTGATTCAGCTCTGCTGCCGTATTGGACAGATGCAGGAAATCTCCCATACTTCGCCCTCTAGGTCTTTACATTGCAACACATCTGTGTAGCAGAGACTCATCTCTTCTCTCATGTTAAGAGTTTAATTCAACCCTGCAATGTCACAACACTTAACGCTGATATTCTTAAGCCACTTGAACGTCATCTGACATCTGCTGTGCCTGTTTTGTTGTTTTTTTTACAACATTTAGCAAGCCTCTTTTATTCTGCTTTGGTGAATTTACTGCGCTATCTGACTTTGTTGTCACTTCATTAGAGCAGCGCGGTGGTTAGCACCATCGCGTCACAGCAAGAAGGTCCTCAGCTGAAATCCACCAGCCCGTCGGGGTCTCTCTTTGTGGCGCTCGTAAGCTCAGTCCGTGCTTGCGTGGGCTTTTTCAGGGTACCCTGGCTTCTTCCACCAGTCCAAAGACATGAATTTAGGTGAACACCGGTGAATCGAATTTGGCTGCAGGTTTGAGTGGGAGCGTAAATGGTTGTCTGTCTCTCTGTGTGAGCTGTGTGACAGACTGAGAACCTCTCCAGGGTGCATCGTGCCACTTGCCCTGTGGCAACTGGGATAGGCTCCATCCCCCCTGAGACCTTGAATTGGATAAGAGGAAGAAAATGGATGGATGGATCTTTTTGCTATTTTTTTATATGAATAACTGTATAAATGTTATTTTTACCTTTATTGTCTTTTTTCTAGATTTGTAATGTTTGACATTTGCTCCATTTTATGATATTTATTTCATTTTATCAAGCTGTACTACTGTATTTAGGCTATTCTGTTATAGGTTTGTATTTAATGTTTTGGCTGTTTTGGTATATTGGTGATCATTAAATACGCTTGGCTAGTAGCCTGTTGCTAAGTTAATTTGCCCACTTTATATGTATCCTGCACACAAGAGTCAAAATCCTCTACATAAAAGTGCAGCGCATGTTTTACTGAGATGCTATTGATAAAATGATTACAAAGATCCAATCTGTCATGTGAAAAAACACATGTTTGTACATCCCATGTCAGTTTTTCAGGAAAGTCTTAATCTCTTTAAAAAGAAACAAACATGTCTACAGATGAGATCCTCAAACAAATTACAGATTGTTGGCATTTTTTGTTATTTTCATAATAATATGAAAGAATAGACAAAACCGAAACATCACATGTCACAAGCACCCCTGCTTTTATCACACATTCAAATTCATAAAATTATCAGGGTTTCCAGCTCCGGAGCCAACGGTACAGCTTTCTTAGGGAGCTAGTTCAACCTCAGACGTCTTGGGTCTGCTGTTCTCTTTGTTATTGAAGTGTGTGGTGTCAACACGCCAAGATCTAAAGAGCTCTCTAAAGCTTCTGGGGGGAGAGGGGGGGGGGGGAGGTTGTGGATGCCCATGAGTCTGGCAGGGGATTTTAAAAGATCTCCAGGTTTTTTTTGGGAATAAATCAGTCCACGGTAAGGAAAATCATCTCCAAGTGGTGAAGATTTTTTAAATGACTGCCAGTAATTCCAAGACTGGCCTGCACAGTAATTTCAACCTAAAAGCAGACTCAAAACCTCTCCAGGACGTGCGGGTAACTTTTGCAACTACTGGTGTCAAAGTGCATCTATTGACAACCTCTGCTGAATGTCTACACAAAGAGTTTGCCCAAATTTAAATGAAATGGAAAATGTGCCAGGAAAATGTCTTTGCACTCCAAAAATGTTCTGGTTTGGGGTTGCTTCACTGCCTCGAGGACAGGTCTGCACGCAGGCACTGATTCGGCTACGCTTTCTGCATCATGCGAGAGGGGCTCGAAGTTACTTTGAGGCTATCTGTCCGAAAAGCGAAGCTGAAATGGAAGACGACGTTTCAACGGGATCGCGATCCTAAGCAAACAAGCAAATCCACCACAGAATACCTCAAAAAGAAGGAATGAAAGGTTATGGAATGGCATTGCCTGAGCCCAGATTTAATACCATCATAATGTTGTGGGAGGATTTGAAATAGGTAGTACATCCAAGAAAACTTTCATGAATCTCACAACCGAAGGAATTTTGAATGTAAGAGTGGTCAAAATTTTCAGCAAGCTGATGAGGAATGAGTGATTTCTGCTAAAGAGGCAATTCTAGCTTCTGAGGGAAGGGGTCTAATTCTGTCTGCAGAATAACATTGAAATTTTTCTTCAATAGATGATTGAAAAAGCTCATTTTCCCTGCAGTGTTGTTATGATGTTACTTGCAGTTACTGTTTCACACATGTCAAATATCCAGCAGTTTCCAAGGGATATAATTGCTTTTTTTCGTTAGAATTCACAAAGGAATTTGTGCTCTTTCAATTACACTAACAGAAAACATGCAATACAGATGATAGTGATTAGATGATAATACCGGTAGGGTCAAGATCACGGCATCTCTCTTTCTTGTCTGCTTTTGCTTTTGTGGTGCAATTTCTGACATGGTTTATGTGGCGTGCTTTATATTTTGGCTATTTGTTGGATTTTTGTCCCCTTTCTGCCAAGGATCCAGGTTGGCTTTTGCCTGCGTTCTGTCAGGCTGATGACGTAAAGAAAAACCACGAGTCCGGCACTTTTAAAACGACACAGGACCTATAAGTGATCTCCTGATAAATAGCAAAATAGAAGACGTGACAGCTGAGGTGACTACGCAGATGTAAAGTTTAATACCCACACTTTGTCTGCCAAAACAGGAAAAGCAAGGGTAAAAAAAGGACACATTTTTGGCAGCCCTTCATCAAAAGCATAAAGCAGTGGCCACAAGGGGAGAAGTAAACAGATTAGAAAAGCTATTGACATTTCCCTGTAGCAAGGAAGGGGTGTCGAATGGCAGCGGGGATGATAAGGTGTACAGGCATTTAGTCCCCCCTCTCATGTTTTATGTATCTGTGATCACAACCGATCGTGAGCGAAATTAATCAATAACAATGCCGCCAGGATGTGTGGATGACACATGCCACTGCCCGCCCCCCACCGCCGCCGAGCTGGCCCCCACCGCCCTCGGCACCCTCTCGCCCCACTCCTCCATTCTCCACCCTCCTTCATTTTCCTCACCCCATCCATTTTGATACGGGGGCCTGTTGTTCGCCCACGTCTAGGTGAGGGATTTTTACATCCCCGGCGTGCTTGGAGGAACTCCATATGGCCGGGATCAAAGGTGTTGCTGGGTGCATGGTTCTGCTTGGTTGCCAGCCACCGCCGTTAATTAGAAAACAAGATCAGAGGCGGTATTAAAATCCAATTAAGCCCGTATGAACAGATTGCCAAGTGATGTTCACTAATGCATTACTGAGCACCATGCAAATTTTAGTGGCAGCATTTGGCTTTATGTTATGTGTTCATGTCATTAAGAGTCTGTGTGTATTTGGGAGTGTATCCGAGTGTCTGCGGGAGTGTGTCTATGCGCATCACTTGCCGGCTATCTAAGGCTCTGTGACATTGCCTGATCTTTTCCTTGATACACAGCCCTAATCTCATACAAACAATCAGCTAAAGCTCTGCAGAGCAACAACACCTATCCACACAATAAGATTGGATGATATTGCTTCTTACAATTAAAGCATAATTGAGAATGCTGAATTATTGATCCATCATAATTGAGTTCTCTTCATTTGATTTGTATGAGAAACTAATATGATGCACAGAAAATACAGCAGATTTGACTAAATTGCCTGAGAGTATTTGAGCTTAATCCAAAGATCCATAACGTTTCTACGTGGCCTCCACTGGCCACTCAAAGACATAAATTACAAGCGGGACAGGAGCCTTCTATTTAAATCAGTTTAAAATCCGAGATAGCTGTCAGCAGATAAAATTAAACCGTGTTAAGGAATTGGATGAGGCACATTAAAATGCGTACATAAAATGATTCTGCACAATAAGTGCCAATTTAGTCCATGAGTTTCATTCGCACAGCAGACAGACAGGGCATCTGTACCAAAGACTGACAAGTGGATGCAGCTGGTGGCCTATGGCCCGAAGCATCCACATTATCTCAGACGAGGGTTGTTAATGTTGGGCTGAATGGAGCCCCTTTTGAGATACAAAATAACATTCTGATTAGAAAGCCAGGAAATACACATCTGAAGAGCCGGAAATTGTCACAATGCAGAACCGCGGCACATTTGGCACAGTCTCAAGCTGGGTATGGAGGAATAAGATCTTAATGAAGGGATGTGCTCTATCAAATGCATTGAGCTTTCTCATATAGTTGCGCTGTTTATCAATTTCCACAGGATATGTTCTTCGAGTTAAAGTTTTGTGACAAGAAAACAAATTGCTGCACCCCAGTTTTTGGTTGGCGCCGATGATTTGTTTGCTGTAAAAATCTTTCGGAAATCTAATATTTTACGAGGGAGCCGTGTGACGGGCCTTTTGGCACTTTAGCTCCACCAGCATAGGACATCTTTCTTGTGTTTTAAAATGTTATTTATCTTTAACAACCCAAGACTCTGAGGAATTCAGTTAGATAGGTGTCCGTCTCATTACAGTATGGACATGCTGCTGAATTACTGGTGCACGTTAACCATGATAAAACAAGTGACCAATCAAAATCACTGGGCCAACACGCAGTGAGGCACAAAACTGTATGTAAAGAAAACGTTTTGCACGTACTGTAGCACTGAACAAAATCATTGCAACTGGACCAGCTTAAATTTCAGGTTGAGGGCTCCGCCTTTATCTGTGCAGCTGTGCGTGGTTAACTTGTTATGCTGTGATTGGTCAGGGCAGGTCATTTGTAGCATTTATAAAGCTTTGACAGGGCAGCAGTGGCTATTAAGAAGCTCGTTCAACATGATGGGTGTTTGGCTTTCCTTAGGGTAAGTGAGTGGTTATATTTTCTGAGGGGTCTTAGTTGTTGCCAAGTTGCTGTAGTTAATATTTTTTCTATGTCGACAGGGCTTTGCTGCTTGTCATGCTGAGTGGCGATAGTTACAGCTACTCTGTGAAGAGAGGTAAAATTCAACAAGTCTCAGCATTTCTAATTCTAAATGTTAAGTCTGCTTTAAAGTTGTACTAATGACTTCTCTTGCTGTGCAGGTACGGATCCTGACGTCTCCTCCAGCAGTGGTTACTTTAAATCTCCTGCTGATTCTGATTGGGAAGTACCTTCTGCTGTGTTTGCGCCCGTGTCATCTGATTCTTGGGTTGTCCCAAATTCAGATCACCCTGAAAGTAGTGCTGCGAGTGGATCAGCAGGCAGCTCTCACAGCTCTGATGCTTATCCTGCGTCTGCATACTCGGGACACAGTAGTGACTCCCACGCAGACTCGACACAACCGAGTTTTCAGCTGGGCTTAAATCACGGTAACTAGTACAGACATGTAGAAATAAACTCTTAATACAAGCTTGCCATAATACTCAACATCCCTCCTTTAACTTTTGTGCTCAGACTTCAGCTGGGCAGTTATGCCTCCCAACCCTCAATCTGACAAATTTCCACCTTTCTATGTGGGAGCACCAGACCCTCTTCCCCCTGTGTTCCAGAAAGGCGAACTGTCTCGTGTGGAGAGGGCCTTTGAGCATGGCAACTCAGAATCTGAAACTGAAATGCAAGGCTTTGAGTCTTATCCTGATGCTGAAGGTTTCAATGAGGACTTCAGTGACCCTCTGTCATCAGACCTTGATGGGTTTTTGTCTGAAAACCCTTATTTGGGCTACATATTGCTTACTGGCAAGTATCCCCCAGGCACAGTCACTCACTACAGCTCCAGTTTTGAGCAAAGGGGGTGAGCAAACACAGGACACTCTGAAGGCCAACTTTAATGTTGCCCAATAAAGATCTGATTCACTAATACTGTGCTCTCTATGGGTTCTTTTTTTTTTTCACCCTTTTTCAGTACACTCATCTAAATGAGTTGACATGGCAAAAGACATTACTTAAAATGACACTTAAGATTTCTAAATTTATGGTTTGTAGTCCACTCACAAATTTCAGCAGAAACATGTGAAGGCCATTGGGGATTCACATATCCAATAATGACGGAAGCTGTTTAATGGGGCAAATGCTAAAAGCATCTCGTCTAACCATTTTCTACAACACCCCTAGAATTAGATGCTCATAACACTTGAACCGATGGTTCAACGCTTTTGAGCTTGAACAAGCAGATTTATTAGAATTGTGCATTATGTGCACTTAATGGTGCACTTCAGCCCACACCAGATTAGCTTATAAACTTCAATGCGACTGCATACAACTACCTAAAACCCAGCAGAAAGATGTATGCTGCTTATCAGTCTTCTGATGACTCGTATCCCATGCATTTGTAAACCCATCTAGGAGGCTGCTCGCAGTTCGCCGTGCTACGAATAAAGGACATTAATGAGCAAATCCTAATGTCATGAGCTACAGTTTAGACTGTGCTATTTCTCAAGCAAGGGCACATCAATACCCAGTCTTACAGTGATATTGCCTGACAACATTAATGGACACCATTCTAATTCACATAACAAATCGGCTCGGAAAGACTCTCCATTGATCTTTAATTAGAGGCGGCTGTTAATCACCTTTATGACTCCTCGGTGGCACCGTAATAGTTTCTGCAGTGAAGCCACAGCAGTCTGTTCTAAGAACCGCATCAGTGGGGAGTGTTTACTGTGTTTATGTACAGCGCAGCACATTGCTAATGGATCTGCTTGGAAGATTTTGACTTTTTTTATCTTTGTGGTTCTTATTCACGAGAGAACGACAGAATTGCAGAGCCTTGATCTGAAGCTCTGCTGCTGTAACAATCTAAAATCCTCTTTCTGTAATGGTCTTGTTGGGCGTAGGGACAAACAATGACCCACAGGAGAGAAATGGCAATTACCTCTAGTAAGATGTCCACTTCACATACCTGTCACAACGCTGATGAACCCATCTTAAAAGGCCGGCAGAGAGGGACAAAAACAAGGGGATTTTCCCTTTGTGACCCTTCAGCTTTCAGTCTTTCTTTTTCATCTATTAAGACATAAAAGGGTGAGTCCCCAGACAGATCCATCCTTTATCCCTCCCTCACTCACTCATCGCTAACATGAACCCTGCCGTGTCCATATTCTATGGCTTATCAGTACCCACTGACATGACTGTAGCATGTATTTGCTGTATTGGTGTATTATTTTTCTGAGTGATGGTTTCATGAGTTAAATTGGGACCAGAGCCAGTTTGTCAGTGGGTCCAAACCAGCCCACTGAGTGGCTTTGCAGAGACGGTGGGTACAATGTTTTGACTTCATTGTATTTTACACCAGGAAATGCTGTGTTGTAAATCTTGAAGAATGGATCATGAACCCTATATTATCAGTTTCACAGCCTTCATATTGACAAGTCATATCCCCTGCCACACTGTGAACAATAAACTTATTGTTTAAATACTTACTTATTTTTAAGACATCTGAGGCTGTTCATCATCTGGTTAGTAAATCCATTAAATGTGTACATTTATACAATCCACTGTAGGATACCTCTTTTAACTGAATGGTCTATCCATACCTTCTCTTCCAATTATCCAATCCAGGATCGGACTGAAACCCATCCCAACTACCACGGGGCAAGAGGTGGGGTACACACTGGACAGGTGGCCAGTCTGTCACAGGGCTAACACAGAGAGACCAACAACCATTCACACCTAGAATCTCCAGGTAACGTAAACCCACTAAACGCCTGCATTGGACTGTGGAAGGGAGCCAGAGAACCCAAAGAGAATCCACACTGACACGGCAAGAACATGGAAACTCTACACAGGAAGTCTGCGCCCAGATGGTGGATTCAAAGCCAGGACCTTCTTGCTGTGACGCAACAGTCCTACCAACTGTGCCACCGTAAACGAAAACATAAGGAAGAATTTTAAGGTGCTTTATTTATAGGTTTTCATACACACATTACTGAGATCAAATTTGAGCACGTGTATGGTGACCCGAAAGGCACTGCAACTAAATGAAAACAAGAGCAAATAGAAAAATCCTGCAAAAGCACACAAAATGTAACACAAGATTTTTTTTGGAGACAATAATGCAACAGACCAGCTGTGATCATTTGCATGTTTTTTCCAACATGTTTCTATTTCCTCTTGTTTTCTTAACTTGCAGTAAGTTTTGTTTTTTCTCTCTCGGGGCTGCCGTACATTTGTGGATTTTACACCCTGGTTACAAGTTGTAACACTCGTGTCTAGACGAATATCTGCAAAGCCATGTGTGCATCTGTGTAGAACCAAACACAGCCATGCCAGTCGCTTACACTGGACTTGTTGCATTTTACGTCTCTTACGCTGCTCAAACTCTTCCCCTGTAAATCAACAAATGTGCAGGTTGTGTGTGGAGGCAGTTTGTTGTAACCTATGGTTACATTTTAAGATTAACTGACCTCAGGGGGTCGAAGAGTTTTGGTGCCTAAATTTGAGCAAACTGTGAGTGAAAACCAAACAAATGGTCTCACAAGAGACTCAAACCACATTTCTCCTGGTTGAAAGTGGTGCGTGGAGGTTTCGCAGGCTCTGATGTCCACTTTGTCCTCTTAACTGGAAACACTCCTGTTGTTTCTGACAGACTCCGCAAGCAGCCAGTGTATTTATTTGGCTGGAATATTTGTTGTATCAGAGCATGAGCATTGCTTCAAAATATACTCCATGAATTACAACCCCCCCCCAAAAATTCCCACTTTGTTACCATATGCTGTGATTGGGCATCTGGCATCCTGCTGTGTGCATTGATGTGAAGGTGAAATCTGGTTCGACTTAACCATTTGGCAAATGTGGGCCTAAACAAACATGTATTTCAGTTGCGTGGCTGTAAAGACCAGATAAAGAGCTGAAGCCCTATGTGGAAATAATTTGCCCATAAAATTCATAGATAATACACGTGTGTTATTTTGTGTGTTTTATGGCTCCGTCCTAAGATAATGCACGAGATAAAAGAGCCACGGTTTATTTAAAGGCGTTCACACATCAGTGTGATTTCGTTTGATGAGATTTACTCATTTATTGTTAAGTTTACTTATCTGTCTGACTTCACACAGTCAATTTGAAGTGTACAAAGACCAGGAAAAAAAGCCCCTTTATTCTCACCAGAGAATTTGAATACCTTTGTGGGATGAAAACCATATCATTAAGTGCACCGCAGAAATAGAAGAGGCATCGTATTCCATTACCATGTACATCTGCTTAACTCTTGACTTTTTTCCCCCAGAATCCACAGGATGTGTACAGACCAGTGTTAAAATCTACCCTCAGCCATTGCAAACGGCCAAATTGCCTTGTGATTAACGCACAATAAAAGAATGTGATGGCTTAAAGAAGCTGCAGGAAAAGCTGCCCAGTGAAAGATGGGTGTATGGCGCACTCTGTAATTAAGCCAGTCTGCACTTGATGAAAGTAGATCACACTGGCGGGCCATGGCTTCACAGCCAGTTTGTTTTTACGACATAATTACAGTCCAAATCAAATGAGAAGATTTAATATTGCACCACAACGAGCATGTGTCCAATGTCAACAATGACACTGACCCCCCTGAGGCAAGGTGTGCATGTGTATGAGTGTGAGGGTGTGTGTGTGTGTGTGTGTTTGAGGGAGGGGAGGGGGGGGGCAGGTCAGGCGTCAGGAAGCCGACAGCACAGAAGCTTCCCCACCACAGCAGCTATCTACCTGTGTAGGAGCCTACCTGGGAGGTCTGACACCAGTGGAATTACACTGACAGTGGGACAGAGGGGAGTAGAGAGGAGGAAGAGTTTATCTAAGAAATAGAAAGAAGGAAGAAGGAGAGGGGGAACTCGACGTATGAGGAAAAAAATGATCAAGAAGAGGTTAATCTAGCTGAAGGACAGGAAGGAGAGGAAACAGAAAACAAAGAGCCGAGAATGAAAGAAGCGATGTTATGAGCAAGTGATGAAGTGACTGAATGAAAAGAGAAAGAGAAGCAGCAGACTTTAATATGCAGACAGCGAGGGTGTGGCTGGAGCGTAAAGATAAATAAATGTTTTGCTTGACTGTGTCTCCATGGTGAGGTGTCGGCCAGTGGTTAGGAGGACTTGTGCAGTCACGACCCACTAAGTTTGTATAAGCGCTTAAAAAACCCGAATCACTCGAGGACAAAAAGGGGGAAAAAATCACTGTTCAAGTGAAAAGAGCGTTTGTGAAAATAACGGAAACTCTAATGACTAATTGTCAAACAATAGATTTCAGGCTTACTGTAGCCGAGGAATCCTTTGAATATAGGTTGGAGCAATTATAGCATCTGAAAGTTGTCATTTCTGTTTTGAGGTGGGTGCTGTTATGATGCTTGACGACATGGTTATGCTGTAAACGACCAAAACCTCCCACTGAGCGGCTTTTGAGTTTTCTTCCCACTGTAAAAAAAAGTCTGCATTTCCTGTCCTCTAGTTAAACACTCAACACAACCACAAAGCCTTTGTTCCTCTGGGTCAGATTCTCCCAGAAGAGAGAATCGTCCCCAGCCACAGCTGTTGAATGACCACCATCGACCACACTGCTTTCTGTCTTCTGACCACCCTTCTAAATTGCTCTTCTCTCTATCCAGTCCTCCCTCCACCCTTCCCCTACTTCCATGCCTCTTTCCACCCCTTTTTCCTTCTTTTCCCAAGAGCAGCCAGCTGGGCTGGATTTACTCTGGTCGGCATGTCGCAGGGCGAAGCGCCGTCTGCTCTTTGGGCGGGCAGCGTCATTTGACTGGGTCCTGGTCAGGGCTGGCAGATTACTAACTGGATATCTACAGAGAGGCCAGTGGGGCCTGAGCCCTGTCATCCACTGGAAAGCGGGGTCTCTGCGGTGACCCCGTGGTTCTGTGGGGCCCAGGACACGAACCACAAT